GGAATAACTCTAAAACTAAAGGGATTAAAAAAAATCCGTAGTGACAGTTCTCGATCATGTATAAATATAATTAATTATCTAATTTTTGTCCTATTAACCTGTAGCATTTCGAGGATGAATCAAAAAAATGTGAAAATTAGAGGTCATTTCGTGATTTTTATCTATAGAGGAAACTTTATTGTTCTATGTTTCTGATTAGTGTCTATGCTTGAATATATCGTGTAGTTACTCATACAATATTTTATTTTTAACTTTAAAGTGGATATACCCCTCTAAAATCAAATCGAAGATTAGGAGTTTTTCCTCTGCTCCCTCTTAAAGTTATAGTATTTCATCGACATTTGACGTCACACGCCAAGCGTCGCCGACAGCAGCTGCGGAATTCTGCATTCACGAGCATGGCGCGAGAATTCCGCGAACATGTATGACGTGATTTTCGGCTCGTATCTAGTATGTACGTTTCACAATTGCCCTTAGAGTGCATTAAGCTATTTACAATATCGTTACAAAAATTCTAATAAGTAAATGAAGCCTTAAGTTAATATAAAAAAATACGTGTTTTCAATTATTATTCGCGGTGGTGGGCGTTCAAAGTTTGGGAACCTATGCTCTACGGGGTTGTAAATAAAACACATGTTCAACAACGATCATTTTATTCACCAACGCACTCTTGGCCTGTATTCTTCGCTGACCGAAACCCGCTTAATGCTCTCGTAACCTAAGATGATGCTAAATGAGAAGCAGGCCGATTGCACGAGCCGTGCCGAAAGGCCTTTCGCGTACAGGCCGAACAGGCCTTCTTCGGCCCAGAGATCTTTGAACACTTTTCGCATTGTTGATATTCCTTCCACCTGGAATACAATTGTAAAGTTTAGTTGTGGACGAACTTGCGCCTGGTGGTAAGCGACACGCCTGTGCATAACAGTTGCAGTGCCACTTAGAGCTTTAAATCGCAAAGATGGGCGGCTAGTCCCATGTGCGGTAACCTATCACAAGTTTTATGTCCGAAATAACTTTTTTTCGAATTTTCATTACATCGAAAACCGAATTATAACGAAACAGTTGTTCTTTCACGATATGTTGGATGTTTATCGCAAAAACACGATTAGATTCGGTTAAGTTAGGTTTAAAAGAAAAAAAAAACATTTTCCTCTCAAAATTACTTTCGAGGTTATGATTTCGACCAAACGTTATTTCTGGAGAATGTCATTTCGGATTACTTATAGTTAACCCCCATGTGCCTGTAATTTCACCGGCACCGTCTATAATAATACGTATTAAGGCTGAAAACTGTGTTCTTGTGTTGTGCTATTCCATAACTTATGGTTTCCTACGTGCCGGGGCATTCCAACTGTATCAAGCCATACTTTTTTGTTCATACTCCGTTCAACCATTTATTTACTTTTGATAGCTCAATCAAAATCAATTAATGATGTCCTAATGCGTTTCCGATTCGATTTTTTACAACAATCGATTTTATTTACGATGAATATTTAATCATGAATGAGAGCGGGTTCCAAAAAGAAGATATTATCTGATTAGGATCGCGATGTTGCGTTTGACAATTTGTGTACTCATGTATTAATAATTAACGTTAAGGTGATGATTCCCGTTCATATGGATAAGAATATGACAATTCATTAGAATAAACAATAAGAAATTATTATTAGTAACATAAATATACTTTATTTCTTTTTATTGTAATTTATTAGAAAGGTACTAAAATTTATCAATTTGCATAATCTTCGTTACATAATCTGTTGGCTAGATAAATATCGGAGCTACAGAGCACGTCGCTTCACTAAAATTAAAACATAAAAGAGTTCAAAAAGTATCCCATTTTTTGTGTTGTATGCATTGACTTACAATTATATGGACGTCGGGTCCGCGCTAAAAAGTGTCCGCACTTGTAAGGCGCTAAAATCGTATACAGAGCGCGACACTCCGCTTTAGTCGTCATTTGTTCTACGGACAGCGCGATACTGCGATGACATAACAATTTAAATTTCGAATAGGTTGACTTGGGACATTTTTTCGTGGTTTTTGTATTAGACCCGTCGTCCATTTATTTGTAAGTCAATGGTTGTATGTCAATAATTACAGAACTTCGGAGGCATGCATATGTCAAAAGTTAAATAAATAGTTAGACGGAGTATAAATAATTTCTAACTTAACTATCGGACCACGCAGTTCCCAGAGTGGTTACCACTCTGGGAACAGTAAATTGAAGGAGTACAGACCTGCAATCGCGCCCGCACGATGTCGAGCGGGTTGGTGAGGATGGTGGTGGTGAAGCCACCCAGGGTGCCTGCCACGCACTGGATCAACAGGTGGGAGACCCACTGCGGGCTTATTTTCAGCAGTTCATCTGAAAAATAAACATTACTTATGACAAAAATCTTATGTAACAATAATCGGAACTGAGGGAGTTTTATTTAGCTAAATTAAAGAATAACGTGGACATTCCCTTTTAGAAAACGCGGGTCTCATCGGAAGTGATTATCTTTGAATATGCGTATTATCAATTGAAATTTGAGTTTTTCATTGGCGTTACTATTTCTTATTAAATATTTCTTACAAATTACTGTCTCAAAAATAATATTGTAGATGTGTTGCAATAGGTCTGTACGTATTTAACCCTTTGACCGTCACAGACGTATTAAAGCGTCAACGTTCATTCCACCTTTTTGTCGCCTTTTCTCCGGTTCCTGGCCACTCGTTTTTAAATTTTTAATCGTTCTTTGATAATTCCTTCGCCTCGCCATTCTGATTTTGTTTTGTTCCATTGTCACTCGTTTTCTCGTTAATTTTTTTGAACCGTTCACCAGTTACCAATAATCTCTTGTGCGATAAACATTTTAAAACGGGAATAATATTTATTACCGCTATTTCTTTACCCTCTTGAATTTTGAACTTTAAACTTACTAAGTGGTTACTACAAGATGTATGGAGGTTGCGGAGGCTGCGGAGGCTACTACTCTCCTGGCTACATTACAATCCTACAGAACATTCAAAGCGGTACCGGCAGCGGTACATGCGTTTCAAGCAAAACCCCTTAATTTTCAATTGAAATTTATAAATAAATACTAAGATAGGTATTCCATGTATTATTTGTATATTCTAGTTAAGTATGGATTCATAGTTGCATTTTATATTCAGTTATGTTCTTCTTTAAATTAGGAGAATTGAAGTGATATAGGTGGAAATTCATAACATGTCACATCACTAGGCTTGGCGTCTAGGGAACGAAACTAGTTTTTTGTCAATGGCGGTGAAAACGTTAAATACTTTAGCCATTTTAAAAAAGAAACATGGGATAACCTATATATTTGAATGTCTCGAAATTAAAGAGTAAAAATAGAAATTTGTATATGCATTGATGACGAAATGGGTATGTCCATACTAGGAAAACGTTCATACTTTAGGTAGATTAACTCCTTCAATGTCGATTAAGTGATAGATAGAAAGGCTTTGACAAAAAATATTTATTTGATAAAATATTCATTTTGTAAGAAAAAAACTTTTTATTAAATTTGACCGACTTCTGCTGTCCCGATTTTTTTCTTGCCATACTATGAAATCATACTTATGAATCTATTGGCATTAAAAAAAAATCTAATCAATTTTATTCATATTGTATGAAAAATACTTTATGAAATTTGACCAACTTCGGCTGTTCCGATATTTTTCGTCCCACATTATATTCAAGAAACGATTGGCACTAAAAAAATTTTTGATCAATTTTCATGGACAACTAACGCTTGACCAAAACATTGACTATGCCAAAATTGTTTTCACAAAAAAAGACAACGGTTCCTAAGACAGTTTCCTTTTATCTTCTATGGTTTCGGATTTCCCCATACTGTCCCATTTAAAAAACACTCTGTATAGCTGGTCAAAGTGTTAAAAGGACATTACGTAGAAAAATAAACCACAATAAAAAAAAATTTTCTTCTCAAAAACACGGACTTATCAAACGCCCTCGTAAATAATAATAAAAACTTATTGATAGAACCAACCTTGGTAAGCGGTATACAACGCCCACCACAACGCAGAATTAGGAACATACGCAGCTAGAGATGCGGCATATCCCTTATAATAACCTAGTGGTCCATGAAGCTGGTAAACTTTGACAGCAACTTCCTTTGCTAACGCCGCCTTTGACATACGCTTATTTAAATCTAACCCCAAGGGATTTATTCTCTGAGGACAAAAAAATATCTTATAACAATAGTTATTTTGTTTTAGAAATAAAATATCCGAGTATATAGCCAGGGGGCATACCACCACCTCTTAAAACAATATTACTTTAACCTTACATTGACTTTTCGTACCATGACGCGCTTAAAGTAAGGTTATTATAATGTTAAAACTATGATGTTTTATTGGCAGCTTTTTGACTATCTAAAAATAGGAAGGAAATAACGCTACATGAACTATATAATGCCATCTCTTTCTTTTTTGATGTTCCGAATCGTCCTATCGTAGCACAATGTTAAAGTACTTAACATTATTTACATTCAGAGAATTTTAACTGCCAAAAAAGAAAAGTATGTAATGAAATCTATTAAAATTTCGTTGTTTTCAATTATTTTTCCGCATTTTCATGAAGAAAAATAAATAAAACTGCTGAGTTTTGATTGTCACGTTGTGAATTCGGAATTATAGTCTAGTGTCAACAGTTAATGTCGCCAAGGAGCATATAGATGTCGCTGTCATAATTTTACGAAGTAAACATCGCGTATTTTTATTTACTGAGAAATTATTTCCTATGTGCTGTTAAATAAAATAATAAACAAACTATTGAAGATATATGTGTAAATAAATAAGTTCAACTTAACTTTTAATCATTACAAATCAATATTAAGACAATAAAAGTGAAAATAATATTGTTTCCGCTGCGCCCAAGCAACTATTTTAAGATTGCAAAATTTGACATAAGAACAATATTACTTTAATGTCAAAGTCGCGTCATGGTACGAACAGAAGTATTGATATTATCCCAGAATTGTTAGAGATATTATCTTTATTACACTAAATACAGCCTATTTTTGGATTATACGGAGACGTACACACAGATATTTTAGCTTTCTAATTTGTGATTTCAGCGCAAACGAGAGTTAATAATATTTAAAAGTGATATAAGGTCCATTTGTCCGATGAGTTGCCAGGGATGGATTATTTCGTCTTTATTTCTGGTTATATACTCGATGAAATAAAGTAAACAAAGAAGCAGCAATCGTAAACTTTTTCTTCAGGCATCAAAATACCGTAAAGAAAAACATGAGCTTGATGTTAAATGACTTTTAGAAATAATACGATTACAAGTTATTACTTGATTAAAAAAAATCGTTTGTTACCTCTGTTTCTGTAAGTTTTTAATAATGTACGTTTTTGAAACAGACAAAGTATTTAAAGATAGAACGTTTGCATTTAATCTTTAGTGAATACTGCTAATACAAGCCGTGAAGCCGTGGTAGCCTAATGGTTTGACCTACTGCCTCTCAAGCAGAGGGTCATGGGTTCGAATCCGGGCTCGCACCTCTGAGTTTCTCGGAATTTATATGCGAATTTTTTAATTTGAAATTTACCAGCTTTTCGGTGAAGGAAAACATCGTAATGAAACCTGCACGTTGAAGAAGGTTCACAACCCTCGGAAAACGTGTGAAGTCTCCAACCCGCATTGGGTCATCGTGGCGGATTATGGTCTAAACACTCGTCGGAAAGGAGACCGGTGCCCAACAGCGGGACTTATAAAAGGGTTGATGATGACTACTAACAAAAAAACCTAATAATTACATAAAAGTAATGAACATATTTGAGGATTGTGTTTCACGGTATTCTTTAAATTACAAAATGGAAGAATGATATATGGCAGTGTATTTAGACGAAAAATTGTGTAATTGTAAATATTTCTTTTATAATACAAAGTGACGGGACGAACAAGTCGTGCGCCTGGCGGTAAGAGACACGCCTATCCACAACAGTTGCAGTGTAACTCAGAGCTTTAAATCGCAAAGAGCTTAGGGGCACTCCCACTGCGCCGTAATCCTGAGACATAAGTCGACAAGTCTCATGTGCCTGTAATTTCACCAGCACCCTTCAAAACTGGAAGACAGTACAAAGGCCTGACAACAAGCACATAGAAAAAAAGTTCGTGAGGTCCGCTGGTTCGTTCCGTGGCTTAGTTGGTATAGAGTCTGGCACGGTATGCTAGAAGACGTCGGTTCGAATCGAGTGTTCGACCTTTGTATTAATAATTATAACAAACTAGTGGAGTAATTTCACATAAAACAATTGAATATAAATTCAATGCCAATTTAAAATTCAGAGTATATGTATTTGCCTAATTTTCAAGTAATACACATAGGGTCGTATTCTAGAACTCTAATCAATGCTCAAGTCAGGATTTGAGTATGGTTTAAAGCACTCGAAATCACACTCAAGTCCCTGCCATTAGGGTCGTATTTCCAGTGCTTGTGTTTCAATTGCAATCCTGACTTGAGCATTGAGTAGAGTTCTAGAATATGACCCATAGAGTCCACTACACCCACTCAGAAATACCCACTCAGAAATACGGAATTTATTAAAAATGAAAGGTAAAACATTAAAGCAAAATATGTTGTTGCATTGTAGTAGCCGTAGAGCTCCTTGTGAACGAGTTCGTCCAGGAAAGTACTGCCACCTTACCTATTTCTGCCGCCAAGCAGTAATGTCAGCATTACTGCGTTCCGTTTTTGAAGAGTAAGGGTGCTGGTGAAATTACAGGCACATGGGACTTGTCAACTTAGTCTCAGTCATTTAAGGCTCAGAGTGGCACTGCAACTGTTAAGGACAGGCGTGTACCATCAGGCGAATGCCTTGTTCGTCCCGTCACTTGATATTATAAAAAAACAAAAAAAATCACCCTTTAATTTCGCCAAGGCCGAGCTACAACTATTTGCGACTACTTACTGTGTTGTTCGAGCTACCGGCGGAAGCTCGCCCTTTGACAAGCCCTAGCACCATGAGATGCTGACTGAGAACATCGAACGGCACTATTATGCTTTGGCCAACTATAGACGCACAACCTCCTCCTATAAAAGACTGAAAATAAAAATAATAATCTATTAACCAGTTGGAGGTGTCCACGAAGTATAAAATCACGAAGAAGAAACAGTGGTGTCATCATCAGTTACGTATTTCAATTCATATTTAATTATAATAGATCAATTGCTATGCTATGTGTTCTAATAATTGAAAGTATTCAATATAATCAGTACAGAGTACTAAAAAAAGCGACCTCAAAAGTACGTGGAATTACGTCTATTTGCTAAGTTTTATAGAAATATCCCCTAGTTCGCCACTATACAGGACTTGACACCGGAGATAATAATAATCGATTCTCACTACTCAAAGTAAATTGAGAGATAAACGCCTTGAATTGGAGAAATAGCAAAATCAACCATTAAAATAATTGCTCCTAAATTAAAGTTAGGCGCCATTTATAAAAATGAATCTTCATGCGTGAACAGCCACCCTTAAAGGTGGATACTTTTCTTCAAAATGAAATGGGACCACTATGGAAGTACCCTTACCAACAAAAAAAGAATCATGAAAATCGGTTCACAAATACCGGAGTTATCGCGTAACATACATACAAAAAAACAGAACATACAGTCGAATTGAAAACCTCCTCCTTTTTTGAAGTCGGTTAAAAAGTACAGAAAAGTTTGTAAAGCGAAGGACAGACCGCGTTCATAGGGGGCGCCACCAGCGTGCGAAAAGTCAGACGGAACGAAACGTCAATGATGGTAACGAATTTCCAAGCGGGAAGGTGAGGTAGGTAGATTAAAGAGAACTCGGTCTATCTGGAGCGGAGGATTGTAAAGGAGGTGAGTGTTCAGTGAATAGAGTTATTGAAAAGTGAGTATGTTTACTTCCTTCCTACGTAAAGTATCGTATGTCGAAATTGCCAAGTTTATAGGGGAGCGTTTTAATGTTCTGTTTTTAACACACAACTGTTTTAACTGTTTTTAACATGTTTTTAAAACACACACAAATACATGATTAACTCAAATTATAAAATAAAAAAATATTTATGAGTTATTTTTAACCGACTTCAAAAGGAGGCTCTTAATTCGACTGTTTTTTTTTTGTATGTACATTAGACGATACCTCTTTGTGAACCGATTTTGATGATTTTTTTTTATTGGAAAGAGGGTACCTCCATAGCGGTCCCGTGTAGTGGCGAACTAGGGGATGAATCCGGGTTTGCGCACTTTCCGGTAACCGATTTCAATAAAATTTGGTAATTAAATATGTAATTCCACGTACTTTTGAGGTTAAAATTACGCCCGTATAAAATTGTCTATACGACTATAAAAATCATTTTAGACTATACCTTCATATTAGGAGTAATATCGTATCTGCCAAGTTCATGCCGAACGCCTTCATATGTGGTAATGTAGAAAACGCCTGATATTATCTGAAACTGTAAGAAAGATAATATTACTGCCCAAATCAACTAATATATCTCACTCCTATGGCCGTATTCTAGAACTCTACTCAATGCTCAAGTCAGGATTTGAGTATGGTTTAAAGCACTCGAAGTCATACTCAAGTCCCTGCCATTAGGGTCGTATTTCCAGTACTTGTGTTTCCAGTGCAATCCTGACTTGAGCATTGAGTAGAGCTCTAGAATACGACCCTTAGATATCTAAGGAGGGACTTAAGAGCGCCTTCAAATTAAGCTCTTGCATAACAATGTCTCGAGTAATAGCCCGATATCCAGAATGTGTAGATATGACAATGATATCTCGACTCCTCCTACGTAAAGTCTCGTATGTCGAAATTACCAAGTTTACAGGGGAGCGTTTTAAAGTTGTGAATTCACTAAATTGAGTACAACACGTGACTTTAGCAAAGAAATGCTTAATTAAATTGTAAAATGATAAAATACATTTTGGTTGTTTATCTTGCCGATATCTACGATTTTATAATGCTCTGTGTGAGTTTTGCCGAATAAAACTGAGAAATAAACTCACGTGTTATGCTCACTTCAGTGAATTAAAAACTTTATAACTTTATAAGTGAGCAGATTTGAAAAAAGAAAATACTGTCTGGTCGGTATCGTGATGTTGCCTTTGACAATTTGTGTACTCAAGAATTAATAATTTAGTTAATAAGGAGTCAAGTGATGATTCCCGTTCATACGGAGAAGAATCCGACGGATTAAACGATAAAAAATTATTACAATTATTTATGCTCTATTTCTTTTATTATAATTTATAGACAGGTATCTAAATTTATCAACTTGAATAATCTTCCGGCTCGATAAATACTTCCTGTATTGCATTTTTTTGTCTATGTTTGTATGTCAATAATTACGGAACTTCGGAGGCATGCGTATGTCAAAAGTTACATAAATGGTTGGACGGAGTATAATTATACTATGTTACTTGTTGAAATTGAATGAAAGACTAAATAATTACCACAGACATATTATGTCTGTGATAATTATAGTATACTTACACTCGAGAGCCAAAAGCCTCTGTAGAGGCCCGAAAAACCCTCATGTCGGTATATTTTTGAGATAGCGTCCGTAACACCCTTGTAGGCCTCTTTCTTACGCTGCACTTGAATTTGAGTCTTAACTAACGTTAGAGGATATAATGCGCATCGTACTAAAAAAAAACACAGAAGTTTTTATATACAGGGTTATTTTTAAAATGCTAACAACCTTTTAGGCTATTGATAATCTCCTTCGTCCAGTGTAATCCCCTGCAAAGATCCCTGTCAGGGGATTCAAATCCACCAGTCAGTAATTTGAAACCAATAACATAACCTCAGGCGACTGCTGGAGCTGCCTCGACACTGTAGCGCCTCAGGGATGTTCGCGGAGGCTACGATTGATAGTTTTCAGGCAGTCGTTCGCAAGAGAGTGGCATCCCTGTTGGCCAGAGTGAGAGGCAGCACCAACAGTCTTCTTAAGGTGGTAGCAGAGAGGATGGACACCCCAATCCTTAAGTATTGGATGTCCATCCTTGTTTATGAAAATGAACACTGCATTCTACTAACATAGTTGGAAGTACCTAGTAAGACTACATGGACAAGTCTGAAATAAATTCTTTCATTTAATTTCATTTCATTACAATTGCCAGTAATTAATTATTTATAAAATTGTGTCATCCCTAACGAGTTTTTGGTTTGAAGGGAGAGATTGTAAACATTCGAATTCGAGTAATAATTCAAGTTAAAAAATATATTGTTCAAAATACTGACTGATCTGTTTTGTACCGCACCATTTATTTAAAATCTTATTATAACGTACTGATTATATTGTTTTTACTTTTTCTTTTAAACTGTAAAGAAAATTGAGTAATTGAAAAAATAATTTTCATATATTCTTGAAGCTATATAGTTTGCCGTGTAAGCCAATAAGTATGATGTAGTTGTTATTGTTGTGTATGGATCATGTTGGCTTTCCTATACAATAAATAAATAAAGTTCAGAATAGGAAATTGACGCTGGAAGAGATATGTAGTAGATTAATATAAAATTAAATTTTACAATGTTTTCCTGTTTCATCTACATTACCTATCTAGCAATAATTAATAGGTGTGTTCCAAACTTTATAATAAAGAGAAAAAAGCAAGCCTTTTTCGTAACTGGTTATGGAAAGAACAAATCTGCATTCGCGTAACTGGAGGTTTGAATATCATCGCCTTACTCTCTCATACTCGTATCATAAAGCACAAAGTTACTAAAATACTAAAACTGGATTGTATATACAAATTTTGCACTTAGATTTTACATCACATTTCCTTCGTATTCACAGACTGGCTTTTACCTATTCTTAAAGTAATGTATCCAAATTAACACCCTTGATAAGATACGAGTTTGAGAAAGGCATCGATATGGATATTCAAAACTCCAGTTACTATTTCTTCTATATATTATATTATATATAATACATTCCTTTTTAATAACTGGTTACGAAACAGCGAGGGAAAATCTTTCGCAACTTGTTATGAAAAACAGTTACATAGATGAATTAAAAGGTAATAATCGACTAAGTATATAATCTACCTGCTAACCTATTTAAATTCCAATTATGCGAGCAAGCCATGGGCAGTGATAGCATAAATAATGAGTATTGACAAAAAATGTTCTCTATACCTGCCATCATTGGTTGCCTAGCAACATTCTAACATAAGGCGCACTATAAGTTTCCGGAACTGGCCACTTACATAAACAATATTTAAAAAGTTATATTATTAGAATACAGTTTGTTTCATCTGACTGTCACTTGTTTTTACATTGTGGTGTCATTTTAGAAATTGGTTGTCTACATCACTATGGATTTAACGCGTGAAAATTTTCGTAGTATGATTTTCAGTGTAATTTAACAGCTCAGCGGAGCTTCACTCGGCTTCAAACTGCGCGAAGCACTTTAGCGATGAAGCACCACGCAAGACGATTATTTATAGCTGTTTTACAGAATTCAAACGCGGTCGTGTGAATATCAGTGACGAATTTCGTGATGGTCGCCTGTCCACTGCTGTGAACAACAAAAACATCGATGCTGTGCGCCGTATGATCAAAACAGACAGGCATGTGACATACAATGAGATTCGGGCATCTTTAGGCATAGGCATGAGTCTAATACAATTAATACTACACAAACATTTGGGTGTGAAAAAGCTGTGCTCTCGGTGGATCCGACACAATTTTACTGAGGCTCAAAAAACGGATCGCGTCACTTGATGCAATGCCGTGGTTACCAGATTCAACGAAGGGGCGTCAAATCTCGAAACGCTAACCGTTACTATGTCCCACACCAAGGACATAGTAACGGTTGGCGAAACATGGATTTATGTTACGATCCCAAAACAAAGCAGCAAATCGAGCGTATGGGTCTTTCGAGATGAGCCGAAACCAACCAAAGTGGCGCGCGTGTAAAGTGCCTCTAAGTGCTTCTTTTTTTAATAAAACTGGAAACGTGGCTACTGTTGCTTTGAAGAATCGTTGTACCGCGAATAGTGATTGATACACGACCATTTGTTTGCCGGAAGTTATTGACAAACTCCGTAAAAATAAATGTAAACGCCGTATCATCTAGCACCACGTTATTGCCAGTTCTCACACGGCCAAACAGACAAATGAATTTTTGTGGGTGAACAACGTTGACCTTATGACCCATCCTGCGTACAGTCCTGACCTAGCACCTTGTGACTTTTATTTATTTCCAAAAATTAAGAACCGGTTACGCGGTCAACGATTTTCATCACGTATGAAAAATATGTTTCAGAGATTGTCACGGAGGAGTGGCATAAATGTTTTCAAAATTGGTTCATTCGTGTGAAAAAGTGCATTAACGCTACCGGAGAATATTTTGAGAAACAATGAATTCATTTCTGATCATTTATAGTATTTTTTTCATATTCATTCCGGAAACTTATAGTGCGCCTCACGTATATCGAATTTAGGTAAACGATTCTTTTATGGGGAACTGTATACGTTTTTACAATAAGATTCCGAAGCATATATTAAGATTACCATTTCCTAAGTTTAAAACTTACATTACAAGTATTTTAAACGAAAAGTCATATTACAAAAAAAACGTAGACTACGTGTTAGATAAAGATGTGTGGAAAAAAAACAAGGCTAGATTCCACACAAATATGATTCAATATGGATTCTATAGCATTTAAATTTATTTGAAAAGAGCAATCCCTAGAGTTTCGTGCTCGTTCCTCTCGGGCAGGTCAGCGAACGAGCAGTAGCTTAAAAAATGACGTTTTCATGGAATAAATTATTTTTAATTTTGACTTTAGTTCATTTAGTAACAATTGGAAATTCATATTCACAGTATTCATTATTTCATTTCAGTTATTTTATTTTATATAATATGAAATAACAAATCAATTTAAAAAAAAATTCATGTTTTTTTACATCTAGTAGGACTCACCTGTGAAACTGCTTAAAGTGTACAAGGGAAAGAATTTCGTCTTATCCATCATGCTCCACTCTATAGTTGTAATTAACTGCGGCGGAGGAGACTCCACCATGGTGGCCATCTTGTTATCTTCTTTGTCCCTCCCTTCTCGGCTATTTTCTATCACATCTACCCGAGAATTCCATAAGCTAAGTAACATCTATATATCTATGTTTACTATATATTATAAACACTAAAAAATATTATTATTTTTTCAATTGAAAAAAATATTTACACTACTTTTAACGCTTCCTTATTCTTTGGTAAATCAAATTTATGGTAACATTGATTTGTCTAAATTAGAACAATGTACATATCACATTGACAAAAAAAAACTTTTTTAAAAATAAACTTTATGGGCTTCGTATTAGATACGAAGTTGGAATAATTGATTTCTTTAATCTCTAACAGAAAAATAAATATATATTTGTAACAACACAGACTAGTTAGTTGTCTATTTTTCTATTATTTAATATGTATTTTTTTTAACTTTATGATATTTTAAAATGATCGAAGTGCTGTATTTTAACAATACACGTGCTGATGTGTGCTGTTGTGTTCTTCATAGTTCAAACGTTATACAATCTTCACATTTAAACTGCAACAATGAGAAAATACGTTTTAGTTCATATTAGTAGCATGACAGCGCCTTGTGGGTTACCTATCAATAGTTCGAAATGACATTTTCCAGAAATAACGTTTCCTCGAATTTTCATAACCTCGAAAGTAATTTTGAGAGGAAAATGTTTTTTCTTTTAAACCTAACCCAACCGAACCTAATCGTGTCTTTGCGATAAACTTTCAACATATCCTGAAAGAACAACTGTTTCGTCATAATTCTGTTTTCGGTGTAATGAAAATTCGAACAAACGTTATTTCGGAAAAAAAATTCGAGTTTGTGATAGGTTACCCTCCTTGTGTGTGTAACTTCAGGGCGCTGTTGGGGCTATCACGGTTCTGCATCCACCTTGCTTGCCAAAGTGTGAATGGACAGCTTTGATGCTGTGTTGCGGAAAAAGGTGGCATCGTTTTTGACCAGAATACGTAGTAGCACTAACAGCCTCCTGGTGACGATAGCTGTAAGAAGTGAGTGCTCAAAAATGATTAATGCAACACTTAATAAGTTGCATTGGGCTACATACACATACAATTCGAGGCGGATAAATAGTTTTATACTTGTCACACCCTTTCATAAAACTAGAGCTTTTGAGGGAAGTTTCCGCTACCAGGCTAGTAAATGCTGGAATAATCTTCCACCCCCACTCAAACATACATTGTCAAAGAAATTTTTTAAAAGACATCTTAAAGTTATATTGTTGGACACCCAAAAACAGCCCTGATAGTGGAAGGTACTCACTTGCGCTGTACTTTTAAGTTATGCTTCTTTTGCACTAGACACACAATATCACACCTAATACTGTGAAAATTCTCAATAAAGGTTAGCTATCTTTGTAATTTCTTACTGCACTTATTTATTCTAATATATATTATAATCTATGTTAGTAGTAACATAATTCATTTAATCTCATTTATTTACTTGTGTAGAATTTAATTTTGGGACCCGGTCGACGCATGAATGCGTAAGGATACGACGGAAGAACAGCGCCAGTCTCCTGACTGGCATTAAGCTGAGTCGTGGCCTTTTCATGGTTGCATACAACACATTGTATATATAAGCTTATTATTATTTAATTTTAGGTTTTCACATTTTCCTCCTGTATTTTATTTTGCTTGTTTTTTGTAATTGTGTTTCTATTTTTGGTTATTGTGTTGTATGTACCGATGAATAAATGTTTTTCTATTCTATTCTATTCTATTCACTTCAGAAGCATTAGAGCTCCTTGTGAAAGAGTTCGTCCAGGGAAGTACTGCCACATTACCGTGTTTCGGTTTTAAAGGTTAAGGGGTGCTGGTGAAATTACAGGCACATAGGACTTGTCAACTTATGATATTATATGATATTGATTTTATTTTATAATATCAATTTTTTGAAAAATCGTCATTAGAGATCGAAAATCTTCAAGCGAGCGGATAATTATATCTGCTTTCACTACTAAATGAAATGAATATTAGCTACAGTAGACAATAATTAGGATTTTCATGCCGAAAATTTCGACTCTGAACAATTTTTTGGTTTTGAGACTTTTGATATTAAAGTCACATTATTAAAAAATATTCAAAATCTACTAGATACATTGACTTACAAATAAATGGCCGACGGGTCTAATACAAAAACCACGAAAAAAATGTCCCAAATCAACCTACTTAAACGTAGTGACATGTAAAGGAATATGAAAAGCTAAAACGTTGAATTTCGATTGTAATGTCATCGCAGTACTGTCTAATTTTGCTTGCTTCGCTGTCAGTCGAACAAACGAAGACTAAAGCGTGAATGACGCTCTGTATACGATTTTAACGCCCTATAAGTTCGAACACTTTTTAGCGCGGACCCGACGTCCATATAATTGTAAGTCAATGACTAGATACACAGAATTTTTTTTTGGTTACATAGATACGGCAACACTGTAGAGTGGGGCTTAGTATAATGTATGTAGATTGAAGAACGTTTGTAATAAAAATCAGTATCTGTAATTGTAAACGACCATTGCTTCTTAAAGCGTTTAGCGCACTACGTCCGTTTCCGAATCCGAGAAATGGCGGGCCGAAGTGTCACAGGTGGTCGAAGTGTCATTTTATCGCTAGATGTACGAGCGATATTCGTATTTTTTCGGACTTGAATAGGACTTAGTGCACAAGCGACAACCGAAGTGGGTCCGAGTATTCTAGATTTTTATAGTCTGGGTTTCGGAATGAATAAGAATTGGATACAGTGCGAATGAAATAAATTTGTAATTATATAATTTCGAGTTAATAAAGAATTTGAATAAGATATCACGTTTTGTTTCGTTGCCTAGCCTAAGTATGAACCTATTTTTGAAGTACTCTCGAGAGTCTCGTCCTTCCCGGGACTTTCGAGACTGCACTGAATCTCGATTTTTTCCCAAGAGATACTTTACGTTGCTCTGTGCGAGATTAGATAAAATTTTAGATATTTCTAGTTTTATTTAAAAAAGTTAATGATGCCGTTTTACTCATTAGGTAACGTACTTTCGACATCAATTTAAAGCTTTTTGATATCTCTTGTATTTATGAAATAATCGCCTGGGCACACTTAACGATTACACTCTGTATATCGACAGTGAACTGGCAACCGGTACTATCTCAATTTTCTAAAGATTTCACTTGTTAATATCATTTTATACTATTTCATATTCCGCAGCGTTGCAAGAAATTCCATTGTTTTTAATAACACGTGTAATAAAAATATTTAAAAACTACGTATTTTTTTCTTCATCCTGTAAAATTGTCAAAATTTAGATAGTACCGGTTGCCGGTTCACAGTCGATATGTATATGTGTGTTTGATGAATAGTAAATAAAGTCCTATTTAATTTTATTTTTATTTGATAATGCGCCAGCGCATTCATAGAACCTTGTCCAATAGTTTTTGGCAAAACATAAATTAAGATTATTCAATGAGACGGACATAAACATTATAGCTAGAAACGAAAAATTGAACCTTGTGGATATAGTTGTATTTCTAGGTATAACTTTAGATGCTAAACTGCAATGGGGTCCACATATAAATAAGTTATCAAAACGGCTCAACTCTGCAGTGAATGCGGTAAGCAAATACGAAAACTTTCAGACGTCGAAACAGCTAGATTAATGATAATGCCGCCGATATTAACAGAATCTTTGTCCTGCAGAAACGTGCGGTTAGAGCCATTTACAATCTGGGCCCGGAGTGTGGAGTAAGTTTAAAGAGATTAACATTCTTACACTAACATCACAGTACATTTAAGAAAATGTAATTTATGTTAAGAGAAATAGCAATTTCTTTAAGAAAAATAGTGACAGACGTAACATTAATACGAGGAATAAATATACTCCAATTAAATAAAGTCTCAATTTCAGTTAAGGGGCAATGTATACGCTTCTATAATAAGATTCCGATTGATATTCAAAACTTGCCATTTACGAGGTTTACAACTATAATGAAACAAAAATATTATACTAAAGGTTATTTATATATACAACTTCTGCGTACTTAGATGACAAAAATCCGTGGTACTGACCCGTTTACCTCTTTCAGGTATCTCTATCTCGATCTAAATGTATTCAAAGGTATATTTACAAAGAGCAGCCCCTAGAGTTTCTTGCTCATTCTTCTCAACGGAATCTGCCTTATGAATGAGCGGTAGAGTTTAATCAGTATGTCGATTTCAAGTGCAATTTGCGTATCTACGAATTAAAGATTATTTGCCTTGACTTGACTCGCCAGGTCTGTGCGCACCCTCAGGGACAAGGCGCTGTTAAATCTAAATGGTACTTATGAGTATGTAATCCCACGATTATGAGATACAGATTATTTTAAAGTCTAATTTGACGTTTTAACACGATCAATCTTCATTTTCTGTCTATAACTTAATCTTATCTCGTACTAGAGAATAACAATGCGAGATCTTACAATGAATTTTCTGATAATACAGTGCGTATAAAGGTGATCATCCATTTAACACCACAACAAGAAATCAGCATCGCATCGACTCACAAAGAGCTTATATTTTTTCTTTAAAAAAAAAATCGATCTCAAAAGTTTGCTTATCGTTTTGTCCATTTTCCATGGGATCCTCTCATCAAATTCTGACTTCTTGGTGACAATGGGACTGTTACGGATTACATTTTATATTTTCATTTCTGGTGGTCCTGGTGTCGGTGATTTGTTGATATGAATACATGTAGTATTGCTTGTTTTGTTGAACATGGTTTGTTTGAAAAAACAAATATACGCGATTTAAATCCGGAAAAATAGTTTCATTCCTATACATGTATTGCGTCAAGTGAAACGTCGACTTTTATTTTCGGAAAATAATTAGTAATTTGTGATAGCCGAAACGAACCCAGAACAGCATCAAGGACCACCTCGAGAGTTTACACTTTCAAACAAAAGAAGAATTTTCAAAATCGATACACAATTGATGGAGAAATAGTGAATACACGGACATGCCTATGGATTTCCGAATATACAGGATTTAGGAATACACAGAATATTTTAAAGAGT